TTTTTTTGTGTTGTTGTTGCAGAAATGATGGTATAGTATAACAGCCAAATTAACAGCAAACCAGCATGCCTTCATGTGCTTTTAGCCCACAATGGAAGCACAGATAACAGCTGAGGGGCCCTTTAGCTCCTTGGAAAGTCTTCAGAAATTAGTTTCTAGACCTAAAGGTTCTTGGGAAGTTTAGTAAAAAAATGATGCTGAAGTTTAAATGTAAATAACATTGTCTGACTTATTTTGACCGATGTTGCCAAGTTCTCAAATCCCAGCTATTAACTTGGTGAGTGCAATCCTGAAGTTACTGATATAAATATATTTAACAAATTATGAATGGACGACAAGTTTACACTGTCACCCCCAGTATGGATTTACACACTTATCCTCTAAGACCTGAGCTCTTGTTTGTTATGCTTTTTTAAATTTTATTTTTCTATTTGCTATTTGATCTGATCAAACAGCAAAGAGGAATAAAAAATATAAAGAAAATAAAAAATACATTTAAAAAATATATAAAAATAAAATGTTATTGTTTTTATGATTTTATTTATCTGTCTTTATATTTCTACTCGTCTTTTTTTCATTCCTATTTGCTATTTGATCTGATCTAAAGGAAATATGCGTAGAAAAATATGCACAGTTGGAATAACGTGCACATATTTCCTTTGCTTTTACAGCGACATTACAAAAAATAAATATAAAGGAATAAATTAAAACATTAAAATTAAAAATAAAAGAAAATAAACAAACAAATAAATATAATAATAAAAATTATTAATTATTATTTTTATTATTTTATTTATTTGTCTTTATATTTCTGCTTTTATTCTCCTTTGTTGGACAACATTCCCCGAGCAGCACCGACAACTTCATTAAATCTGTGTTTTGGAGTGACTCAGTTCTGAGTCCACTCTTAAATCTGCACGTTATCGTTTCCAGTAGAGTCTAATCCTTGTTCCATTATGTTAAACAGAACGGACGGGATTCAGTAGAAAACATTTAATGCTGCGGTTCATTATTTCCTTCATTAAAATTCCAAATGTGTTGCTGTCTCTCTGTCCTGAACTCTTACAGAAACATTTTCCTTTAGCAGTGTGCTGTGTGGGTTTCAGTACCAGCTGGGCTTCACGTGTTGTCTGTATTTGTAGTTTCTTTACTTTTAAAGCTGCTGCAGATTGAAATTAACCATCTTGTCCTGTAATGCACCGTTTGAAATTAATATCGGGCATGAAAAAAGAAGTAAATGTGCTCTCCATACTTGAGGCTGATGTGTTAATGACACACATGGCAGCAGAGGGAAGCCTGGTAGCTGCTGATGGTGACCTGCAGGGTCCGGCCCTGACCACAGGGTGCTGCTGCTTTAAACAACATTCATTACTAAACAGTCATATAACTGCACATTGACAGTTATCTCCCACATTAAAGGAAGAAAAAAACAACAACTTTATGACACAAGTTGATTGTTTTTTATTGTTTTATTTTTAATGAGGACAGCTATTGACACAGCCTGGTCTCTGCGGTCATCTGCTGAAAGCCGCTTTATTGCTCCAGTCAAATTAAACAAATAGTCCAAACCTAGAGTCATAAATCAAACATGTTTTGGGCTTTTTTTTCTTTCTCTTTTTTATGGGCTTCCTCTGCGATTCTCATTTGCAGGCTTCGGGGCGCTGTCACGCCTGTAGGAGTCACTAAGAGCCTCTTTCTCCTTCCTCCAAACTTCATTTCCTCCTCGTCCAACCAGAAAACTCGCTCCCCAATTCATCACAGGAACGGCGCGGAGCGGGCTCACAAAGTTGTCAGAAAAGAAACCATCGGTTTGTGCAAGTCCCTGATACTCAGTTTAAAAGCAGGACAGAAGAGGAATACGGAACCAAACAGGTCCGAAAGTTTGAGCCAGAGCTGCTGCTGAAGTTTGCGCGGCGCTGATTTCTGTCCAGCGGCGGTTTGTCCTCCTTCCTCTGGTCGGCTGACAGGTTGCACTGAGACGAGCTGAAGAAAGGAGACTGTTTATTTCAACCAGGTAAGACGCTTGTTTACGCTCAGCTTGTTTACTGACTGCTGTGTTTGGTTTCAGGCCACGTTTTACGCAGCGTAATGACACCGGAGCCGCGCGTCCCGTCCAAGTTTACTGAGCGTTACAAACGACAACACGCTGCTTCTGCTCGCTCTTATTTATTTCTTTTTATGACATATTTGGACACACAAACATAAATCAACCACAACACGACGCATCTATAATAAGCACACGAGTGGAGCAGTCAATTCCAAGTGGCCTTCTGGTATTTTTAACTGCTGTGGGAACCGTTACTCCGCTCTGAGTGGTTGAAGTGAGCCCATAGAGTGACTTTTTACAGTTCACTGGTTCCAATATTTTAATGAACTCCTGTTCAGACCATAATATTCCCATTTTATGACCACAGGCTGCTTATTTTGTTGGCAAGCTGTCCTGAGTGTGTCACGTGCCAAGAAGCTTTGAATGAGACAAAAATATGAAGCCTGAATTGATCACTTAACTGGTTCAGTCTGTTTTTATTCTACCAGCTACAAAAGTCATGTTTTAATAATGTTTTTAACAAACTAAATCACCTTTCTCCTGTTTGGTGTAATGAGTTTCTAAGAATCCGGTCAGAGCGGATACGTTGTGTCACATGTGAAGCTGATGACAGAAGACTGGAGGAATGTGAAGCATCACAGGCGTAGATTCTGATGAACAGCTGAAGGAGATGCTGGGCTGATACATCCGACCCGCTCAACAATGGGCTCATCACTGGGTCCACGCTGCCTGTCTCCTCTTCTCACTGATGAGCCCAATCACTGCCTTCTGCTCTCAACAAGGAGCTGAAAGCGTCCTGTAGTCTGATCAGTGAGGAGCTTTTTCCGTCCGCTGACCTCAGTGCAGCTCCTGTAAACCAGAGGCTGAAAGTGAGAAGTTTTGTGAGTCCTGCATAGTCTGAAGCACTTCAGCTGCTTCGTACAGCTCGTTGGTCACGATTAGAGATGAACCCTGAGCAGTCTGAGACGTGTTTTTTACTCACTGTGGCCTCATTTTTCTCTGAATATAAAGTCCTGCACCTGCATGGAGACGGCACAGCCATGACT